GCTGTGCTCGGTCCTGGATGATCACGCCTGTAGCAGACTTCAAGGGAGCAGATTTCTTCTGTATTGGACCTAAAGCCTGCTTGATACCGTCATATATTCCCTTGATGTTACCTGTGTCCGCTGCTATCTGTATCTGAGAGCAGAGCTGAAGCCAATAATCATTGGAACATCTCCTGGCAGCTTCTTGGAACTTTGCTACGAGCAACTCAAGGAGCCTGCATGTTGTATTCACTAGGACAGACTTTGTATGCTGCTAGAGTTCTCGAAGCTTTTATTTATTTATTTATTTATTTATTTATTTATTTATTTATTTATTTATTTATTTATTTATTTATTTATTTATTTATTTATTTATTTAATATGCCGCCCACTCTACCCAGAGGTCTCTTCATTAATTTGGATGTAAATGATGTTCCCAAATCCATGACAATTTCTGAAGCGAAGCCCATGCATATAATATAATTTACTAAGGCATTTGGTATAGATTCTGTTTCTGCATTTCGCAATGGAATGGCTTCTGCGTATCTTGTGGCATAATCTATTATCGTTAGTATGAATCTGTCTCCCCTGTAGGCAAGCGAAGCCCATGCGACACATATAATTTACTAAGGCATTTGGTATAGATTCTGTTTCTGCATTTCGCAATGGAATGGCTTCTGCGTATCTTGTGGCATAATCTATTATCGTTAGTATGAATCTGTCTCCCCGTTACTGTAGGCAAGGGTCCCACAATGTCCATGCCAATGCGTTGAAATGGGGTTGATATGACTGGTAAAGGGTACAGCTTAGCTTTTGTTTTATCATTGGCTGTATCTTGCCCTTGACATACATCACAGCTTTGACAGTGTAATTTTATTTGCTCCCACATTCCTGGCCAGTAGAAATTCTGAGCTATTCTCAGCTTTGTTCGTGTGATTCCCAAATGAGCCACAAAGGTGTCTTTATGTTCCTTCTCCATAATCCTTTCCCTGTATTTAAAAGGGATTACCATGTAATCATAAAAATGTTTATGAATATTTTCCCCTCCCCTATGAGGATTTATTAAGACCTTTCTATATAGCAGGTCTTTTTCCACAAAGAACCTTTCAGGGCTTTCAGGGGTTAGTGTTCCTTCTCTGGCTGACTTAAAGCATTTGTGTAATGTAGAATCCTATATTTGCTCTTGTTTAAACGCCTTTTCATGAGGATTCCTTATAACTACCACCTCAGCTGTTTTATTGTCTTCATCTCCTTCTATAATTTCATTAGGGATCTCACAATTTTCTTCAGGTTTTTCTCTTTTTTCTATCTGGGAGCAAGTAGCGTTTAAAACACTCATTACATACTCAGATAGATCTAACCCAATCAAACAGGGAACAGGCATTTGCTTCGTGAGGCCTACCTTCCACACTCCATTCCATCCTTGAGATTTCATTGGTATTTGAGCCATAGGTAGTGTAATCAATTCAGTCCTTATCCCTTTGATGGTTATGTATTCATTTCCCACTATATTTTCCAGAGGGATAATATCAGGATGACACAAAGTCACATGAGATCAAGGGTCTCTCAATGCTAGATATTTTGTATCATGTATATAAATGTTTTCACCAGAACACTGAAGCAGTTCTTGGTTACTTTCTATATAAACGCATTGGACAATGTTGGCTAATGGCAGCTGTTTTTCCAGGCCCTCTGCCATCTCCGTTTCAGCGCCATTTTCATTTGCCTCAACTGTCTTTCCCTGCTGCTGCACATAGTACACTTTCCTGGGTACATTTGCTCCTCCTTTCTATTGAACCTCTTTATTCTTTAAGGTTTGGCATTGGGAAATGAAATGCCCTTTTTCTACACACCCATAGCATGTTTTAGGGGCTCTTTGTTCAAAATATGGAGACTTGTCTCCCTTCCCTTCAAAGCTTTTAATCTTCAGTTGATTCTGCTCTGAGGGCTTGCCTCTAAAATGGCCTCCAGTATTTTGATTGTTTTGATGGTAATCTCTGGGTTTTTTCCTTGTTTCATCTCAGCTTTTACCTCCAAGTTTTACCTCAGAATATTTTGGGTTTTTTATTTCTGAGATATAATCAGCAGCTTCACTGGCCTGCTGTACAGTTTTGGGCTTTTTGTCCCTAACCAATTACTTTACTTCTCCAGGCAGAACTGAATAGAATTGTTCTCACCCAATATTGTTTTTCATTGCATCTAAAGTTTCTACATTTGCCTGTTCCAGCCACTTCTCCAAGTATCTAACTAGAATGGTTCCTAATTAATGATCGTCTTTGTTCAAAATCTTGGAGCTTGTCTCCCTTCCCTTCAAAGATTTTATTCCTCTGTTGATTCTGCTCTGAGGGCTTGCCTCTAAAATGGCTTCCAGTATTTTGATTGTTTCTCTGGTAATCCCTGGGTTCTTTCCTTCTTTCCTCCCAGCTTTTATCTCCAAGGTTTACCTCGGAAAATTTTGGGTTTCTGATTTCTGAGATATCAGCAGCAGCTTCACTGGCCTGCTGTACAGTTTTGGGCTTTTTATCCCTAACCAAATACTTTAGTTCTCCAGGCAGAACTGAATAGAGTTGTTCTAACCCAATAATGTTTCTCATCTCATCTAAAGTTCCTACATTTTCCTGTTCCAGCCACTTCTCCAAGTATCTGACTAGATTGGCTCCCAATTTATAATATGATTCCTCAGGCTTTTAAATTCATTGTCTAAATTTCTTCCTGAGGTGCTCAGCATTAATTCCATATCTTGCAAAACCAATTTTCTGAATGCCTCATAGTCTCTTGCCTGACCTTGGGGCATTTGAGAATAAATCTCATTTAACTCTCCACTTATTTGAGATCTTCTCAGGATCATTCTCTCCTCATCTTTCACCTTATAATCCCAGCATTTCCTCTTGAAAGCAATGAGGAATGCCTCTGGGCAATCACCCTTTCTGAACTGAGGGAATTTCTTTAAGTCTGCTTTTGATAAATTCTCCTCAGGATGTGAATTATTATTATTGTTGTTGTTGTTTTGGGCTAATAATTCCAACCATCTCATTTCTAGTTGGAATTCCATCTCTTTTGCTCTCATTTCCATAGCCATCTCTTTTTCTCTGGACTCAGCCTTAGCCTTGAGCTGTAACTCTTTTAATTTAAATTCCTGCTGCACCCTCCATCTGTCAAACTCTTGGGAGGTTAACCCAATTTCTTCCCTTGAGGTATCTTCCTCCTGCGCCTCATGCTCAGCTAACTCAGGGCTTTCTTCTTCGTGAGGTAAACTTTGAACATCCAATACCTCCATTTTTAATCGTTTCCCTCTCTTAGAAGGCATGGTTTATTTCTTTTTCTTTTGGATCAGTTGGTTAGTTTAATAGAGGCAAATAGACCTCAATTTAAAAATACTTTTTCCTTTTCTGTGTTAGAGAATGATAGATAGTAGCCTCTTGCTGGCCGCTGCAGATTGTTACTTAATTTCCTTAGGCACCCAGCCTCACTTTCTCTGGTTCTGATACACTGTTTCTGTCAGTCTCCAGACACCAAGCTTTTCTCCTTAATATTTATTTTATTCCAGCCACAGTTAGATTTAGTTTCCTAAGCGATTTCCTTGACCCTGGCCTCCCTTCTATTCCCTTCAGCGCTCCTTTTTCAGAGCTTGGGATCCAAAGTTAGCCCCTTGGCCTTTCTCTAAGCTTGAGGTAAACTTTCAACACAGAATTCTCCTAAGAGTCCTTTCCTGCTTTAGTCTTTCCATGATCAGGAGTCCCTTCCAAGCTATCCACACAGAGCTTTAGGGTTTCCTTCTCCTTCTCCGTTGCCCTTGGCTAACTGACTCAGAGAATTTCTTTTCCCTTTCTTTGGCTTACTGGAATTCAATTTGTATCCCACCACTACCACCACTTTTGACACACTGTGACAAACCCAGGTCCACCTTTGGACACGACTTGCTTATTTCTTCTTTCACCAACTGCCACCAATGGATCTTAATCCACTATTTACCATAGATGTTGCAAAGACACATGTAATCAAATATAACTGATTATTTATTATGTTGTTGTTATTAAATCACATAAGTATTATTCATAGATGCTTTATTACGTTGCACACATTGCTTGAGTATTAAACAAGTTTCTTTATGGACATAATTTTTCATACTAATAACTGTTAATCGCTGGAATACTATCAAATGACTGTCTATTTATTATATTTCTATCTTTTAGCTATTCTTTAATCCATAAACCAACTATACCACATCAACTTTCCCTTCTCTCTCCTAAAAACTCTCAAATCCTCCCCTCTCATTCACTCTCAGTCTCCCAACTGCCTCTAACTGTTCCCTTGACTCTGCCCTCCTGTCCTCTCATAGGCTCCAGTTCTAGAGCTCCACATGATGGACAGGTGGGACATGGGCATTCCACCACAATGGTATCAGACCTTAAAGGCATTGTTGTTTCAGCTATCCCTGCTGTTTCTTACAGGGAGGGAAAATCTTCATATGCAGATTGCTAGTGTTGATTTACACTCATTGTTCTAAAGTATACAGCGGCCTTTTGAGGAATGGCTACAAGTACACATAATGATGCAAAACTTCTAATTAATTTTAAAAATAAACTCAAAGAATGTGATTTAATGAGGTATCCAGAGACTTTCTTCAGAGCTAAATGAAGCTGCATTTTAGTCATTACAACTTCTAATTTCAGTGTTTTAGAACTTTAGAAAGTTTCATGTCAACCTGAACTGTGTCCTGTTGATATCTTCAAACTGAACAAAATGTGTTGTTCTTATATGTAACAGGAATATTCAGGTTATAAAAAGAAATCAAAGCTCACAGGAGTCACATGGAAGAACAATCAAGAGAAAGACGTCCAACTATGAGCTAAAGTGGGAGGGAAGGGTAATGAAGAAAAGGTGTAGAGAGTATACAGCCTTCTATATAACTCCATATAAGTAACATAAACAATGTAAACAGCCATAAGTGGAGATACAATCCAATGTGAGAAGGTAATAGCATATAAACAATGTAAACAGCCATAAGTGGAGATACAATCCAATGTGAGAAGGTAATAGCATATAATAAAAACAGTCAAAGCAGCATTTCAAGGTATAGAATCAACCACAAGGCATACTCTAACTTATTATAAAAACTGGCAGGTCACTCAAAATGAAAGCAAACTAAAGCCTAAAGGCCCCAGTCAAATAGGAGAGTCTTAAGTTGGTGATCTGAAGGGTCAGGAAAATCTAAATCATTTAGTAAAGCTTTGTTTAGTGTTAATTTGTTGGCTAGCTAGGGCGGCATTGGCAGGGGAAAAGTTTAAAGGTCCTTAGGTAAGCAAAGTATATACCTTGAAGTTATAGGGCATATGGAGATAGTTTATTCATTTTTAAATGGAATCAATATGCAGTTAACCACATTGACTTTGAATCTTCAAAGAGTCAGAGATCCATTTATTAATAGGATCATAGAATAGTGATGTTGGAAGGGGTCTATGAGGCCATCAAGTCCAGCCCCCTGCTCAAAACAGGAATACAAACAAAGGATATCTCCCAGGTGGTTGTCTTAAGTTTCCTTTAAGTGCCTCCAGTATTGGAGTATTCACCAACTCCTGAGGTAACTGCTTCCACTGTTGTACTGTTCTAAAGTTAGAAATATGCTTCTTTAACATCTATGCTTTTTCCTATACAGGCAGTGGAGGAAACAACCAAAATTCTAGCCTCTCCTTCAAATGCCCCTACATTTGATGTCCCTGTTTAATCTCCCTGTTCACAAGTTCCTGATCATGTCCTCCCATTGACTCTAGATTTGAGTGCAGCTGCTAGCTCCCCCCCACAGCCAACTGGATAAATCACTTCCTCTTAGCAGTCACTTCTTCTCAGCTGGAGTAACTCCCCCTTATACCAAGTGCTTGGCACAGATCAGGGTCTAGCAGTGAGTTAGGAAAGTACACAGGATAAAAGAGAATGCAAGTGATCAAGAGACCAACCAAATCAAGAGATGCTTTGCTACAGGTACAATGAACAATATTTGTATGGCTGTTGTTCTTAAGGTTTTTCTTCCTAACGTTTCACCAGTCTCTGGGGCCGGCATCAGAGGAGAGGAGTAAGAACAGACCAGAGCACAGACAGAGTTCTGACTCCTGTCCTCTGAAGATGCTGGCCACAGAGACTGGCAAAACATTAGGAAGAAAAACCTTAAGAACACAGCCAAACAGCCCGGAAAACCTACAACAACCATTGGATCCCAGCCGTGAAAGCCTTCGAGAATACAATATTTGTAGGCTTATGAAAAATTATGAGAATTAATAATAACTGCATGCCATCAAGATGATTCTGACTTATGGCAGCCTTTTCCAGCATTTTCTACATAGAGAATACACAGAAGTGGTTTATCATTCCCTTCTTCTGAGGGCATTCTGGGACTAAGCAGCTTGTCCATGATTCCACCGGCTGCCTATTCTTTCTGGAGTCACAGTGGGGAATCAAACTCCCAGTCTCTCGCTCTGCAACCAGATACCTAAACTACTGAGCTCTTAATAGGTGTATTTGATATGAACACAATAGAATAACACACTATCGGAAACAGCCTTCCAATATCACATAAAGTGAAAGTACTTGAAGAGAGACCACCAAAACAGATATGAAAAATTGAAAACACCCAGAAGCATCTCTCTTCCATCCATGGCTTCAATGCAAAGAGCGTACAAGCACCTCTCAATTTGTCTGTTCAATTATGATTAGATATAAAGCCATCTCCCAGATTAGAATCCAAAGTTACATGGGAAGATCACCTTGACAAGATGATGAAGACTTCCTCCATTTAACGCTGGGTGACTAAAGCCCCCAGAATTCCCAAGGAAGATAGCACAGGACAATTAAATGTTGTGCCACATTCATTTCTTTTAGAAACTATCCATAACTTTTCAAGTTCCCCACAGTCAGACTTTACTATAACCTTGTGCTCCCCCACCATGCCTGCTGAGATAGAGGGTGGCCAGGAGGGTCCCCTCAATCATAAGCTCCATGGATTCCAAATGTCTGGATAAATTCTACCTAGCCTTTATCAAGGCAGTGAAGGGAAGTACACCCCAGACCATGTGTTTTGTTTTCCCTGTCCCTTCAGGAACTAGTTCTTTCCATCACTGCCTCTTGCTAGCAAGTACCCAAGCCTGGGGCTAAGTTGGGCATTAACTGTCCAAATCTAGAGCTGGGCCTGAGTTTTAGACACTGGCCTCAACAACATCCCTCAATGAAAGGTAGTAGTGACAGGCTGATGAATTTCCTCTTGCCAAAACTGCTCCTCTCTCCCCCAAGCCAGTTGCGTAAGCAACTGCTGCTCTCACCGCTGCCTTCAGCACTGTTTCTAGGTTTGTGTGGGCCTTTCCATTTGAGACTAGGTTGGACGTTTTGGCCTCCATCATAAACATAATGAGGAGAGTAAGATAACCACTTCCACACTGTAGCCTCTGACCCAATCTCCAGTCAGGTCGTGGAGTAGTGAGCAGTTCTCCCCTAAGGAAGCAAAAGACCAAGAGCACTTCTTCCCAGGCCCTTGACCAGATGCCTCTGATCCCCTCCTCTTCCTCTTTTATTCCTGGCTTCCACCACCCAATCCCACCAGTGGTCTGGCCCTACAGTTGTGGTTCTTCCTCCTTCTTCCTCACTCCCACCTGGGCACCCTGGCCTATTGTCAGGGCTGCCTCTGGGCTGTCCTGCTGCTGGGGTTTCCCAGAAGTCACCTAGCAGGCAGAGATGAGATAGCTAGCCAACTGGGGATGACAGATGTGTCCCCCTTTTACAAACCTTTGAAGTACATTTTTTTTCTGAAATTCTATGGACACCCAAAGTAGCCAACATTTACAGTGGTGCCTTGACCTACAAAAGCCTTGACCAAAACATTTTGAGTTATGAACAGCTCCATTCGGCCCAGTGGTGGGAGGCTTGAGCCTGTCCAGGGTGCTTCGGCCGCTGGCCTCCTGGCCATGGTGGACCAGTGCGAACAAACTCAGTGTCAGGAGGTAGAGCCTGACCAGGAGGCAAGGACCCATCTTGGCCGGGCTCTGACTCCCGGCACTGGGTCTGTCCACGCTGCTCGCTTCCCAGCCAGGCTGCGGGAGGCAGAGCTCGGCCCGGAAGCGAGCAGTGGGGACGGACCCAGCACCAGGAAATAGAGCCCAGCCAGGAGGCCATTTGAATTTCCCGCCATCAGCCCATGGAGGTTGGTGAGGAGTGCCAAGGACCAAAGCAGCCGCCCCGGCGAGCAGCCACTGGTGCCGGTTCCAGAGCTGGAGCCGGCATCGGGCACCAGTGGCGGCATCAGTCTGCAGAGGGCAGTGAGGA